TACGTATTCAAGCATGCATATTCAACAACCCTCCACCTTGAAAGCTCGGGTACACCTCTTCCTGTTGACACATGTGCATAGAGTTAGCAGTGTCTGTATAATCAGCCACTGTTAAGAGATGTACCTGTAAAAAGCTATAGATGAACAGAAAATATCATTTAGGTTAAAAGGGTTTTGTACAGCATGTGTCACAAATACACCATGACAAAGTAGTTCTACAGTATTGAGGTACATGTGTTTTGCTGTTGAAGTATCTCCAATATAAAAGGCGGATCTTCAGAAGTTGAGGCAGAAGAAAAAGCCTTTGAGCTTGTGTGCTGTTTTTGGAGTCTGTGGTAAATCCACAGTGATGACAGCAACTATCCAACCCCGATGATTCTTTCAGTACTTAGCAAATACACTATTACCTGTATATTTCTAACAAAAGCTGTTTATGCGCTCTTGGCAGCTAGAGTGTGAAGCACACAACGGAAATCTTGATCAAAACAGATTTAAGCACCAAATCTTATTGAGCGCTGAGCTAGACCTAAAGCCCTGAGTTGTTGATGTTGTGGGAAGTAGATACAAAGGCTTTCACAGTAATCATTGCTATTGTTTAGCACTTCATTTCAAGCCTGTTGTAAATCCAGCACAAGAGCCTTATCAGCCAAAGAGTGAACAGTGAGCCTGGAAGATTCCTCTTTGTGTTGAGAATGTAGTGGGAGGACACAACCACTACAGTATTTCTCCCCACAGTGTTTTTTAGTGTAGTATAATTTGCTAATGTTCTATAAAGATTCCGAGTTTTGTACCATTGTTGCTTTTTTCAGCCAATTTCTGACAAACTTGTGTGCTGTTAAGTTGAACAAAGTCCACTTAGGCATGGGTCTCTGAAATTGCTTTTGAAAGGCCAGATTACCACTTTGTTGAAATAGCATCTGAAGGCATTCATATACACAAATATACACCTACACATGGGTGACAGCTCTGTCCATCGCAGTCATTCACCCACACATGCATATAGCACAAACAAGAGGAAAAAAAAACATTGACCTATCTGGCATGTGCTGATGACTCAGTATGGTATTAATCATGTTTGACAGAAATATAAACACCGATTTTCACAAACACGGACCCAGTCATACACACCCTGTCAGCGCTAATGTGCACAGACACCAACACATGGAGCTCTATTCAGCGCAGTAATCTCATTACTTTCTCACAGGCAACACAAGTCATTAATAAAGTCATATCAAAGACATGATGTGAGGCATAATGTGAAACTTGTTTCAGTCAGAGACACTATAGCACCAAATGTAGAAGCAGTTGACAGGAAAAGCTTGATGCTTGAAGGAGCTTGCTAAATAAAGGCAAGCAGCATGTGAGGGCTATATAGACGATAACACAGCCGATACATCACTGAGATATGGAACATACATAATGCACAAGAGATGCTATCACAAGTATGGTAATAAGAAACCAAGCCAGGAGGAGGCTGGCTGGTCAGGGTTGACTTTGATAGAATTGTATTCACTTTATTTATGTAGTTTTTTTGGGGCATGGGCAGACAAATTCTTTTCAATGCCTTTTGTAGTGGTGAACTAGTTGCACTGGCAAGTCGATTCAGAGCAAACACCCTCAAGTTATCAGAAATTAGGTCTTTATTTTGACTTGATACCTCATAGATAGTTTTAAGTCTCTAACTTTGGTGTGCACTTTGTCACATATATTGCATTTCAGTTATCATGTTAAAGGTCCAGTGTGTAACATTCAGGAGGATCTATTGGCAGAAATGGAATATAACATTGACAGGTATTGTCATTAGTGTATATTCACCTGAAAATAAGAATTGCTGCTTTACATTATGTTAGTCATTTTTATCTACAGAGGGGGCAAGTCTGCCATGTTGAAATGCCATGTTTCTACAGAAGCCTAGAATGGACAAACCAAACACTGCTCTATTTGAGCCTTTTGCGTTGCACTGTAGTTTCTCCTGCACCTTTGGAAGGCTGAATCAAATGAGTCAATATTCAGTTGACTGATATCTTCAACGTCACCCCTAGATGCCACTAATTCCTACACACTGCTCCTTTTAAGTAAAACATTAAAAGAAATATTGATCGTGGTGAGACAATTTGAGGAAGACCTGCAGAAATACGTACATAAACTTGTAACTACCAAAGTTGCAATTTAATTAATGTGTAGTACATGTATTGCATTATTCCCACAGTAAAGTTTTTTTTTTTTTTTAACAATATTAGTGGTAAAATGGAATTGACTTAGCATCCACCTATATTGTGTCATTAGTTGCAGAATACGGTTGTAGAAAATAAATTAGAAATAAATATAAATACATTTTGTGCTTAATGAGCCCTGGTATTTTACCTGGAACAGGTTTAAAAATGAAAGCAGCTAACTGAAGTATAGTGGAGGTGGGAGACCTCATCAGTTACAACTAGTAATATCAGTGTGTAGCAGTGTGAGCCTGTTGAATAAATGTATACAGTCTACAGTCTTAATGCATGTCTGGTGTTTTAGATTACGACACAGTGCAACAAAGTTGTCTTCTTAGCTCTGTATAAAACTGGCATACATTACACACAGTTACATCTTAGACAAAATCATCTTCAAAAGATTCATAAATCTGGTGCAACTCTTCAAAGAGACACATACTGTATTTTTCATGGGAACAGTTGTGAGGAGATGTAGTGTTGAAGCCACGCAGTTGGAAAAGGGAAGACAGTTTTGTTTTGGCAAAGAGCTGCCAAGAGCCTGACAAAACAGCACGGAGAGAAGTTCAGTGTAAAGGGAGGGTGGAGAGTGAAACCGAGATGAAGATTGAGTGCCAGAGAGAAAGCAAAAGCATGCAAAGAAAGGTTTTGTTACCAGATACGGAGAGAAGAAAACAGATGAAAAGTCAAAACACCCGGAGAAAGAAAGAGGCAGAATGAAATTGAGATCAATACATACTTGCAGCAGCGTGTATTTTCGTCTATGCACTGAGACTTAGTTTGGAATATCAATGGAGACTCTGCAGCCAAGATGGCAATGTGAGAAACAAAACGGATCGGGGAGGGGATAGACAGAAAAGACAGAGAGCCACAGACCGATAAGAGAAGCTGAAAAGAGGCAGATGAGGGAAATTAATAACGGCATGAGAGACAGTGGCCCCAGAAATAGGTAGCAAAATAACAGTACAAAATGGAAAGCTGTGACACACGGGAGGACTGACAAAGAGAGAGATTGAAAGCCAGACAGAGAAAGTTGGACAAATGGAAAGACAGAAAAAATGAGTTTCCGACCGGTGAGATGAGAGATTTGAGAAGAGGCGTGAGATAAATGAAGAAGTACAGTGGCCGGTGTCGAGGGAAAGACTTGCAAGACGGAACGCAGCAGTGACCAGAATTGATATGAGAGGGAACGAGCCTGTCTGGTGTTGATACAGAGGGAGAGAGTAATATCTGTCTTAAAACAACACTTTTACAGGTGGCAGCTAAAGTCACAGAGTTTACTACAGTTCTACTAAAGGCTGGGAAAATGTTTTTATATTCTCCAGTCTGCTGTCTGATCTCTCTTTCACTCTCCCTGTCTGTCTCTTTATCTCTCGGATTGTCATTCTGTCTATACCACCTCTCCGTCTATTTGATGTCAGAATTGATATCTCTGGTGAAAAACACAGATCAAGATACAGCATAGGCCCGTCCATGTCTTGTTGTTTTTCCCACTCTGAGGTATTACCCTAGTAGTCCTGTGTTCATCACAAGTCTTCACACAGACTACTGTAAAACTCCTGTGTTTTTATCTTTTCCCTCAAAATCTATTTTTAGTCAATAACATGCCAAAATAAATGTCATTGAACTTTGCAGACCCACAAGTCACATCTTAAAAAATCTTAAGCTGGTGTTTGGTAAAATGATTAGGGTGCCTTCACCCAACCTGTTCGGTGTGGTTCAAACAATGACTCAAATTGTCTAGACTGGTGTGAAAGCTGTCAAACTCTGGTATTGGTTGTTTGTGGCCCACAAGTGTGGGGAATTTCCCAGATACATCAGAAAATAAAAATAAGTTGATTGAAATAAATGCTGTATTTCTGTCCTACTGTACCTCAATCAGTTCTGAGGCATTAAGGAGTAAATTAGTGCTGGCTGAATTCTATTTAGCTGCTTCAGTTTCAGGATCTTGGTGTTGAGCATGCTGGCTAATTTACGAGTTTCCAACTTATAAATATGTTCACGTCAATATCAAAGTCGTTATTACAACTGGGAAACTCCGATATTTATTTGCACTTAAACAAAAGTGCCTGAAAAACAAGCAAACATGGACGCCTCACATCAACTAGATACTGTAGTTCAATGTAATTAAGCCCAAATGTAATGGATATGGTGTTATATTGTCAATTCACATTATTAAACAACTCACGTTAACGTCACAGCTTACTAGGACTCTTGCTAATGTGATTCCTTACACCTGTGCTTTCCCTACCCTGCTGTGACAAAAGGTCTACTGAGGAACTCCACATTACAGTCCCATTACATACATTTGATTTTGGAGTTAAACACACATGGGCAGCTGATAAAGCACTAATTTAATGAAATGCAATAAAAAAAGTTTTGCATTTGTGTAAAATACATAATTCTCTGACACTGATTGATAATTGATTTATTTATTACACAGCTAAATTGCACTGAGGCTAAATGAGTCCCCTCTGAAATCTCTGCAAGTTTCTCTGCCCAAGTGCATGCTGGGAAACGTTCCAGCCCAGCCTGAGGGTAAAAAGAAATAAGGAAGAGAAGGAAACATTGTGCTTGTCTCACTCCACTAACTTCACTTTTTTTAATTTCACCAAGCTCTGCAGTCTCTTTTTATTACTTTAGCTGGACTTGTGAGCTATGCAGCCATGTATTAATTTCAATTTTCTAATATAATCTAATTTCTGTCCCTTCCTCCTTCACTCTCCCTCCTCTTCTGTCCTCCCCACTTGTTCCAATCCTCCCCTTCTCTCTGGCTTTGTTTATTCTCAGGTGGAGCTGGAGAGAGGGAAGACTCTCCACATCAAGGCGCTGGCACTGGGTGACCTGAACAAGGCCGGCCAGAGAGAGGTCTTCTTTGAGCTCAACGGACAGCTGAGATCCGTGCTGGTTAAAGACACTGTCGCCATGAAGGTACACGGAAGGGACGGAGGGAGGTATGGGTTGGTTAGTAGATGGGTAAACGATGGATGAGGTATAGTTGGAATGGTTTGAAAGAAGGATATATTTCTGCAGGGAAATGATGAATAGATGGATAAAGGGAGAGAGGAAGGAGAAAAACTGATGTTGGATCTAAGCAAAAAGAATAAAACATTTTATGACCGTGCACTCGGCAACTACGGGTGATTTTTATTCATAGAAATAAATGGTTGTGAGGGGTAGATGGAGGCTCAGCAGGGAGGAATGTTTCAATGGGTGGCTGAATGACTTTATGGATGGATCATTGGCTGGACAAGTGGATAAATGGAGGCAGCAGTGTGTGGATGACTTGGAGAGATTATCAGATGGATGCATGAAATCTCTTTGTTCCTTCACACAGGAAATGAAGTTCCATCCTAAGGCTCAGAAATCCATCAAGGGTCAGGTTGGAGCACCCATGCCTGGAAAGGTGCTGGAGGTCAAGGTGGAAGTTGGATCGAAGGTTAGTTTGTTAATCTGCTATATTCTTCTAGCTCAACATTTCAGTTTTTATCAGATTTGATTACCTTGGGTTAAAGGGTCAGTTCACGTTTTCTTCTATATATTTTCTAACTTACCACCCAGTAACAACTGTTACAATATTCATATATTATTTATCAATTAAATTAACAGCTGCCTGTTAAATGATAATGGAAAAAGCAATTATGAATCTGAACGTGTCAGAACAGCCAGCAAGGAGACTGAACATTTAGTGCAGTGAACATCACATTCATTCATTCATCATTGTTCGGAACGGAATAATGGAATAATTTACTTCCAACTTCACACAAATATAACTATTTTTTAAACTCAACCCAGTCCTTCAGATTAAAAGCTCTGGTGTTTCTGTGGACAGAATCCATTTATATGAGGCTTTTATTGTATGGTATTTATCAAAGTGTTACCTCTAGTGTTGCACAGTTTACTACTAATGCAATGCCTAAGTTCAAGTACCGATACAAAGAATATTCTTTTTTTTGCCCTTGGTAAATAACTAGTCTGTTTTTAAACATGTTAAATGTTGTCTAAACACAAGCAGTTGTACAAGAACTCTGCCTAAACAAAAGAGTTGGTAAAAGTATGATTTTATATTGTTCGTACTCAGATATGTTAAGCCCTGTTCTTTTCTTGTTAACCTCAGCTACAGCACTTGTTCAGTGGTCTGCACATTTGACACATGTTCTTAATGCTCTGTGAACTGTCTTTATAATCATGAAAGGTGGAGAAGGGTCAGCCGCTGTGTGTCCTCTCGGCCATGAAGATGGAGACCGTGGTCAACTCCCCGGTGGCAGGGACGGTGAAGGCGGTCCATGTCACGACCGAGTCCTCCCTGGAGGGAGATGACCTGATACTAGAAATCGAGGAGTAGAGTTAGAGGGCAGAGGGAGGCAGGGGGGAGTATTAGTGGTACTAGGCGGGGTTTAGACAATCTGATTCTGGAAATGGTGAGGTGGAGGAACAGGAAAAACAGGACTCCTTTTCATCAAAGGCGAGTCTCATCTGTGGCAGTACTGCAGAACGTTTTGGCCCGCAATTTGTACATTTTCTGTTTGCTTACGCATATCCAGACACCTGATTGGTGTTAAGAGTAGATAATATGGCAATCCTAAATAATACATAAATTTGATAGGAACTCCTTATTGAATTGTACAACTAATCAAACTCTGCTTAATTCTCCCTAGTATTCCGTACATGTGGTGATTAGGTCATAGCAGTTCCTTAGTACAATTATTAATGTCTTAATTTGTGGAAAATTATATTTTTTAGAAAGACATATTTAAATTGTGATACATTCCATTATTTAAATAATAGTCTTAACTGTGTGTAACACCCACTTGCAATTAAATGCCACATTTCCATTTCAATGCTGTTGATGTTGCCTAATATATTCAAAGTGAGTAGGTGAAACTTTATATTGATGACTACTAAATGTTTTTCTTTGTAATCAGCACAGTTCAGACAAAGAAAGATAGACTTGAGGATGTATTACCAGATATTTTTTTCATATGGGAACAATATTTTCATCTTTGGGCATTCTCGCCTTTTCAACACGTTATTAATTTTGTCATTAGTCGCACTGCATCCTCAGAATGTGTAATCACTGAGTTAGACTCACTTTTTTTGCATATAAAAGAAATTCAAATCGTTCTTTGGAAAACACAAAGTCCAGAGTGGCTGAAGGAAAGAAATCACAATGACCAACCTGTTTTTGATATGTATGATACAAATATTTTCACAATTAGAGAAGCACAACACACCAAGTGGCACCATGTTATGTTTTGAGGACACAAATATACATGCCAGAAACGTCCAATATTATACCCAAGTGAAAATGTATTCTGTTACTGTATCAGTAATGGTAGATGGTTTATTTTTTGATAGATCTGTACTGGTGTTGAAAATGTTTGCTATTCACACCTGTCTTTAAAATCCCAAAGCAGAAGCATGCTGTGGCGACATTGTTGAAATGAAGCTGTAGGCCATGTTGGAAACACCCAAACAGGATTAGAGGCATGATTTTTATTAAGTACCTCTGTTACAATCTAAAAAAAAATGGCCTTCTTAATCCAAACACGGCTGTAGGGTGGCCCACTAAAACCAATTAAACTCAATTTGCTTTATCATTTAAAAAGGTGTAAAGTCAGAGTTTGTAGGGTGGCTTTTGGACCTTTTTAGTTCAATGTTGGAAAGGAGGAGTGCTTCCACCCTGTCTTTTCAGAACCAGGCAGAGATTATGGTGAATGGCCTTCTGTCTGGATGGGGATTTTAATGCTAGGTGTAAATGGGATTACATGGTGGTGTAATGGAGGCATGTGGTGTTATTTTCTGAGGCTGTGCTGATTAATTTATGAATTAATTCTCTGTCAAATGATGTGAAATTAGCCGGACTAATAAGAGACTCTGGAGGCTCCCAGTAGCAGCACTCGGCTTTATATTTCTAATGCGTGTGTGTGTTTGCATAAATGAGTCTAAATGTCTGTGTGTATGTGTGTGCAAGCAAGCACATTTTAAGACAGTCTCCATAATGTTGCACCTTCAGAGCTGAAAACACATTCTAAAATAAATGAAATATTCATACACATGCACCAATGCAAAATACTCACGCTAACACTCCCAGCCCTTGAGTGCTGCCTGGATCAAAAGAAAACAAAACCAAATACACTGCACAGTGGTGTGGCTGCATCTCCATAGTAACGCTGTATCCAAAACATTTAACGGCAATGCAGCAATGACCCCACTCAGTTTTCTGATGATGTAGTTAAATACTGAATTAAACCCACAAGATTCAACTTGTCAACTGTCAGCTGCAGGCCTTTTAACTATTTCAAGGAAACCGAGGTCAAATTGAATGTTTAACTACCATGACCAGTGAAAGTAGACCGTGGACAAGCAGGGAGAGAATTGATCACATATCAGTTATAGCCGGAACCTAAGTGTCACAATCTGCTTGTAATACAGTGAAGCATGCAGTGTTTGGCGAGCCAGAAAAGAGACAACAGCTTACTTTTCCAAAAGGTCTGTGCACGTTCGACAGAAAGCATCGACCCAAACACAAAATTAAAGTATCAGTTTGTGACTGGATTGTTTCCAGCATTTTTGCTCAATTACCTCTGAGAATGAGACCCCTTTTGAACCATGCATCAATACTGAGCAGCCATGTCGTGGTTAATTAGAACACTGATATGCCCACTGCCATGCCTCGCTGTACCCCCTGACTTTATCAATGTTGAATGGGATGGAGATGCAAAAGTGTTTTTGACAAGCTGTTGCACAATAAATGTAAAGTCCCCTCCTCCTCTCCTTATTAGCTCTCCTTGTTAATCTGCTTTCCCTGCCTCATCTATTGATTCAACCAAACACCTTTTTTTTCATTTCCTCTCCATACCCCTCTACAGTGTAAATTTGCACATGTAAGATGATGACACTGACTCATGCAATAATGTAAACTGTATCGCTGTTTTTCTCTGTCTTAGCCAGCAGTGATTGTAACAACTGTGCTTATGACAATGTTCTGTTCAGTGTCTGTGAAAAAAAGAATAAATCGGATATAAAGTACACACAACTGAAAATTTTTTTGTTTCAGAAAGGGGCATATAACCTTGAGCTCATGCTATCAGGGGGTGAACTGTTGCTGAGGGTATGAAAATAGGGTCTGTGACATTTCTTTTTTCTTTCTATTGATTTCCTTTGTGTGTTTTTATTAAAACAAACCAAACTGCTTATTTACTCTCAGTTTAGCAGCCTCCAGATTCAAAATGTCTCAATAGAATTTGCATCATAAATGTTCATTAGATGTCAAGTTCTTATTTCTAAATAATCCTACTTACAAATCATAATTTACTGAAGTAGTTTACATTTACTTGTTAAAGACCTAAGTATGTTTAAGTCCAATGAAGGACTATGAGCTGGAGCGCACAAAAAGGGAAACAAATCATATCAAATAAAAGCGTAATTGTTGTTCTATCTGTACTTACAAATAAAGTTAACTATAACTGAATCTGCTTTGTGTTGGTGTTAATTGCATACGCACAAGAAAGACTCAAGTGAAGGCCAGCTTTCACATCCTTGTATAATCCTGTCTGTCAAGGTCCCACTAGAAAACAGGCTGCTCAGCTCAATGCTGGTCCACATAAACATATATTACATCTCTGAAAGCTTGAGTCCTGCATTTCATATCAGCCTGTCAAATCACAGCTCTTTCAGAATTATTGTGTCCTACTAGTAATTAGATTTCAACAATATATGTTCAAGTGAAAAGACTGTTTCATGAGCCAAAAACCCTGCCAGATCAATGGAAGTAATTTAATTCGACTGTACAATTTTATCACATGCATTACCATAATGTGACAGGGATATGCTGGATTGTTGGAACCAGACAGACTTTGGGTTATTTTACATAAGCATATTTATTTTATTCCCTCAATCCGCCTTCCCTGCGCATCAGACTTCAGTCTGTCTCTGGATGGGTTGAAGGATTGTCTTTGTTTGTCCCTTTCCCAAACAAGTTAATTCCTGTTTGGCTGGATGTGGTCTACCCTGACACCCTGCTGTCTTTAAACAGGTTCTTCAGATCTGATTAAGTACTGATTAACCATACTAAATCAATCAGGTCTGTCGCTCAGCTGGCATTATTGATCCGTGGCCACGTTCTCTGTTAGGTTTGTGATCGGTGAGTAGATTGATCACGCTGGCAGCAGGCACTAGTTGACATTGTCAAGCTCATGTATGGATTTAGTTAGTGATTTATTATTGAGTATCAATAATATAAATGCACCACTAAGCCATGCTAGGCTGGCTTGTCACCACATTTTATACTGGGTTAAGAGGAAGCGTCCAGAGAGGAAAGGTTGCTATGGTACCAGAATTAAAGAATAGCTTGATACTTAATTGTGATCAGATTAAATCAGAGGGGCAATTGTGTAGCACAGTGGATGTTATGACCCATTTGTCAGCCGACTTGAGTGACAGCTTTGATTAATAACAACATAATCAAATTTGCATATGTGAATATAGAGAAGTGGAAGATAACAGTCTGCCTGCTATGACCTTGATTGGTTTGCTGATATCACTAAAAATAAAACTACGACGGTAACATCTGTCACTAAACTCATAATTTTACTTAAAAAAACAAGAAATTTTAGTAGAGTGGAAATCTGAATTTTATAAAAAAGGTACCATTCTGGTGGAGATTATCAAGGCTATTTCTACAAATCACCCACCTGACATTTTCTTCGGTTTATGTGCTATTAATCGGAATACTGAATGTCAGACTTCTCACATGAAGACATCAAATGTCACCCTGTTCTGGCATTACTAAAACTGACAGATAAAAGGGCCTCAACTTAACCATTTTACACCAGTCATTCAACTTATTGCGGTGCCCTTGCAGAGAATGTTTTTAAATAAAAGCTTCAGTTTTTGTTCAAACGTCGAGTGAAATATTAAATTCAAGCACACATCTATGAATGGCTTCCTGTGGCTGTCACGCTGTGTGCAAGATGCCTACTATCGATGATTGGTGTGCATTTAACACACACACTTACAACATCTAAAGATTCTTGAGTTCTCTCTTAATGAGGCCTCTGGTGGCGTCCTTGTGGTCAAAGCGATAATTTGTGTTTGAATTTGTTGAATATTTATGCTGTAATAATGATTACATTAATGGAAGGCCTACTAATCTACAAAAACAGATTAGTTTGTTACCATGTGCAGTGGCAATATAACGTATGTCCCATATTGAGAGAAAATGGTGAACATTTAATTTCACCATTTTAATGCAACATACAAAACTTGAACAGAAACTGGTTTTCAAACAAGGCTAGGCTATCTTATAGCGGTTTGGTCCACTCGCTGGGCATCAGTAATCACCTTTTGTTGCACATAATCGGACACTTAGCAGCTTAATGAGGGCACCAGCTCTTAATAAAAAGATACCCTGTGGAGTTTTCATTGTAAACAATCTGCTTAATTCAACATTTCTCACACATTGTGTTTCCTAAAGGCCTTACATATAGATGGACATACAGGTTGAATTCATTGCAACTAATGATTATTTCCACTGGTTTATCTGTTGATTGATTTTTAACAATATATAATGTATTTGATGATGAAAATGTCCATCACAATTTCCTACAGTCCAAAGTGACATCTTAAATTACTGATTATTTTAAAGTATCAATTATAGTTCAGAGAAACGCAGTAACATTTAACATGCTGGAACCAGCTAATTTGTGTTTGATAAATGACTAAAACAGTGTTTTATAAATTATCAACTACTTAACAGAGTGAACATACCAGTACAACCTCACAGAGACTTTTAAAAATATATATATAAAACAGGGCTTCTCTTTGACTGGAACACTGCTACCTTTATAGCACATTACCTTGCCTTTATATACATTACATTGCTGTAAATTGAAACATTTCTCTACAGCACTACTGGTGGTGAAAACATCCGTAGTACCTTCAAGTGGCACACTGTATCTGACAACCAATCAAGTTTTAATGTTAATTACTCTTGTCATGTCACAGCTAAAGCTACAGTGTCAGTAAAAGTCAACATCCAGTCAGCTACTCAGAGAAAAGCAGCATTGTTTTGTGTCAACATTTGGCCACTTCCAGATAAAAACATGACTTCTCTGTAGCTTTTGCTTCCTTCAGCTGACACTGCCTCAAAATGGGTCAAGAAGCTGCTTTGACGGGGTCTCAACATCACAAGAGAAGCCAGCGTTTTCATTTCCCTGGGTCCTGAGGTCACAGACTAAATTTGTCATTTGGATCCCAGACTGAAACTGTTTAATAACTCCTGCCTCTAATCTATAAATGAGTTCAAATCCCCTTTGTGGCTTTCTCTTAGCTCATCCCTTTGTCCGCTTTGCCACTGTCCAAATGAACAGCAAACACCCACTGGGAAGAGCCGTGAAGTCTTGGCAACTCTGCGTGTCAAACACCTCCTGTTCTATGAAACCCTGGCAATGCCATGCGGCAGCAGCTGGTCGAGGAGCCAGCTTTCTAACCCATGCATGAGTCTCTTACATGGGCCACAGGGGTCTGCTGCTCTGTTGAGGTGCAACTTTCCCCTCTAATCCCTTTGCTGCTGTTCGATAATCCCTTCACTGCTTGCTTTGCTGCTTTCTTTGCTGTAATCCCCCTGCCTGAATAAAAAGAATAGACGGAGAAGGACGGGCTACATAGTGTCTCACACAGACGGGACAGACGGCTCTGTCAGTCTCTAAGCTTCCCGTCAATCAGCACAACCAGGATCTGATCCACCCAGTCACAAATGCAGCCTATGTGCTGTTCTTTCTGGACTCTGAAGAATGCTTTAGATATCAAACTGAATGATTCTAATCTCTGAAAATAAGCCAGACCTGAAATGGATGCTAAAAAGCACTGAGCAAATGCAATAGTCAGGTGTTGAAAAAGAGCAGATGAAAACTGATCATCATGGTGTAAAAGCAGGGATGAAATGAAACATTACAATGTCAAAAACACCCGGTGAAACAGCAGCACGGCATCAAACACGCATCACTTTCAAATGAGGGATTTTGAGCACTCGCCTGGCAGGTGTGGTCCACTGCCATCTCCATTCCTTTTCCATTACTCCCTGTTCAAAGATTGCTTGTGGGGACAATTTTCCACCTGTCTGAGAATCAGCAGCCAGGGGCTTGCGGGGCAGTAAAACCTCCCACCCTGCATGTCCACACAGAAATGTCCCTGACGGCAGGTCTCGTGTAACGCCGACATTTGGCTTTGCTCAATTTCTTGATGTGATGATCTCATAACTTGTGAGGGCGCATGCCGCCGAGTGTTTGGGATGCTCAGTGTGTTCCAGTAATGAAGACAGTTAAATGACAAGAGGCGGGAAACAGGAAACTATCTGCCTGTACTTCCCTCCTCCTCCAGACTTAGCTTCATCATTAAACACTATTAGCGGCACAGCAGCGCATCACAAAGCCACGGGCAACCTTACGTGTGATGAGTTAACAATTCACACATCAATTAAGCAGGCAGATCAATGCTGCGTCCTGACCACACTGACAAATTCAATTTCTAACGAACGCATCAAATGATGGCCAGTAGCTAGCCATGACATGGATCATTTCCTATGGCCCCTCCAGAGTCAATCTCTGTCAAGCCCTTTTGATGTTACATCTTGTGACACCCTGTGTCGATGAAAGTATGTGTGTGAGAGGAAGACTGGGAAGGAAGAGAGAAATAAAGAGTGTTTATACTGCATGTGTATATGTGATGAGACATCTCATTAAGTATTAAAACTGCTCCACAGAACTGGTTTAGCCCTGGGTGTCAGAAAGGGCATAAACACACACATATAAAGCTGATGCACTTTGTCCCTTGTTTTAACACACTGAGGCGTTAGAGTGTGACTGTGTGCATGTGTGCGTCTAAAAGTGTGACCTCTTGTTGCCACTGTGAGCTTAAAGTGTTCAGGCTCGAATCAAAGCACTGCAGCAAATATGAGAAGGACGCTGAAGAGCAGAAACAGCGACGCGCACACACACAGTCAGACAGGGAGGATTCAATGCGACAGAGGCAGAGCGAGCTAACAGAGGAGAGAGGAGAGAAGCTCAGCGACTGCGACACACAGCCCAGACAGGAATTAAGGAATTAGAAAGCAAAGAGAGGGAGAGGATCAAAGAAGGAGAGCAAAATCACGCATTTCTTCTGATTCACGTGCGTCAGAGACACGGTGCCAATCATCAGAAGTCTTTTTTTCTCCACCTTGGTGTCAGAATATTGCACTGTTGCCGTGGCAACAGGCGTGTACAGGGCAAAAGAGTACATTGTTCCAAAAAAAACAAACAGTCCGAGCGGACTCTTTGTAGCGTTTCTCTCTTACGCACAAACACGTCGACGCAGCTTCTGTCTGACAGAGCAAAACAGGAATATGTCCAGGGTCACTTGCGTATGTGATTACTAAAATTGTCCAAGCACAGACGTCGTCTTTATATGCGTTAAAAACAAGTGATGCACAGT